CACCCCCTCTTATTCCTATAAAGGTTGTCTCATAGAGTTTAAAGGTGTTGTTGTCACATTTTGAGGGTTCTTGCGATTGAATTTGGCGATGTTCGAAGTAAGTTTGAGTAGAACCATATAGTACCTTATAAATACGTGATCGATTATTAATATTACTTTCAATTGGAGCTTAGCGTCGGAGTCTATTTACTGAGTAAGGAGGTTTGAATTTGTAGCATCTATTTTATCTTCCAATGCTCATTCGTGCCTTAGCAACGAGCTTGCAAGTTTGAATAGTACTGCTAATTCCATTTTCAAATCTACAAAATAATTATTTGGTTGTAGCTAGATTTTGCAGGTTGTAACAATTAGCCTCAAGCAATCGATATTTGTAATTCCTCTTCTCTTCCTAGAGTCCCTTTCCGATCAGAAACGAAATCTGGAGGAAGGTCTCAAGGAACTAAACAATAAAATTACCAAAAAATTTGAGGGTAAGTTCGATCCTCGCAAATTCACTTCACCCATTTCTGGTTAGGAAGTGATGAAGAACTTAATGAGGCTATTGAAAAAGCGGATGAACAGCTGGCTGAATGGCAGAGATCCCTAATTAGGAATGAAACGAATCTGAAAGAGATTCAATCGTTCGTTAAGGCTAATGATCAGACCAAGCATGAACTCGTCATTAGCAGAACTCGCTTAGATATTGAGGTTCAGGTACGTCTGTAGTCTGTAAATCCATCTAGTTCCTTACTATATCAGCGGTTGGATGAAGCTTTGAAGAAAAGAAATGAAGTCATAGGCAATCTGGCTGTAACAATGGAGCTAACAGGTGAGTTTTAATTAAATATGCATTCACCCCCCCCCCCTCGCCTATTCCCCAGATATTGCAGATAAGTTCGCTAACGAGCGAGAACTCTCCAACTCGGATGTTGAAACTGTGAAAAGACATCTTGAGGACGCTGTTAAGATCTCCGAAAGCCACTTGAACAAGGCCAAGGTAGGGGTAGAAATTCAAGTTACATTTGTCGTTTAGGGTGCGCTTGAATCTGATGGCAGAAAAGCTCAGAAAAAAGTTGATGAAGCTCTATCTGCCTTAGTTAGAGTTGAACAGTCCATCACCAATCAGGAAAGCGCTTTGGTAAGTTTGCCGGTTTTCTCTCGTTCTTTTTCTTTTAAATTTCAACTCCAATTCTCATGAAAACTCCTATTTGCAGTCAGAGTACGTCGAGAAATGGAGCGATTTCGATAACAAGTTGAAACGAGCCTCTTCTGCAAGTGGTGAATTAGAAGCTGTCAAAAAGAAATTAGACGAAGCTGTAAGTCCATTTCTGGTATTAATAAGTAGTTGCGTTACTTTGTGGTGATCATAATGACCTCGTATTTGTTCATCTATTTGGAGATCAAGTGGTTGAAATTCAATGGTGCGTATCCGGTGATTTAAGTGACTAGTTAATTAATATTCGACATTGGAAATTGAACTTTCCACTCAGCGGAGCTTAGTATTTGCACCTTTGTACTCTGGTTGAGCATTGCAAACAAATGATTTCGTGTTCCGACAGAAAAGTTTGTCTTACGCTGAAATAGTTGCAACTGATTGTGGCCGCTTGAATTACATCGTAGCAGAACGGTATGACCGCTTTGGAGAAGATTGAAGGGTTGGAGAGATTGAAAGGAGGATTGACGGTATACTTCACTCGCAAAAATGAATATGCGAACTTTGGTGTTATCATTCTAGCTAACAGAGAGTACTCACCGATTACACACTTCCTTGGCTTTGTGTCCTTTCTGACTTTTTGCTAGTGCTTTCTTTTTCTCCAATAAGTTGACTTTAGCCAATGCCTAATTGGTTTGATGCGAATTAGTTTATTTTCAATCGTTTCTACCCTATTTCTTTCGCTCAGACAAGTTCTCGAGAACTGCTGGAATCTTCTGAAAGTGAATCAGAATTAAAGAAATCGATTGAAAGAGCCCAAACGGAGCGGAATTCCTATGAGGATCAAATTGCATATCTAGAGTGAGTGTCTTCGCTTTGCTTCTGATAAGATCTCTTATCTTAGTGCCCAAATTGACAAGGCACAGCGGAATGCGATGGCCAATCAGAAACGTGTTACGTTGGAGAGTGATCGAATGAATGCTATCGAAGCAGCTAGGAAACTGTGAGTTCACTTTTAATTGATATGTGACCCCCCTATTATTGCTTTTAGTCGAAGTCGTCATTTAGACCAACTTGAAATCATTTTCGCTGGGGAAGAAGCCATTCCCCAAGTCAATGTCAAAGGCGGAAAATCTGCAAATAGCCTTACCCGCGAATTCAATAAACGATTTGAAAAGTTGGTGTTGGAATCGAAGGGTATTCAAACGAATCTCAATGAAATGCAGAAAGAGCTCTCGAAATTGGAGACTCAACTGTCATTCCATCGGTATGGCGTATCATAGTAGTAGAGTAGTAGATATAAGTAGCAGGTTTAAATCCAAATCCCCTTCGCCTTCTTCTTCTTCTTCCCTAGGAAACAGTTGCGTGAAAAGCAGGATACCATGAGGAAGATTGAGGAAAGCCTCATTTCAACATGCGGTCGAGTGAATCTGGAGCACAGTTTGGATGCTTTAATGATTAGGAAAAAGCAATTGGAAGGGTGAGTATTTTATCCATCTCGTATACTAAACCACCATGAAATGTGGGAGATAAAGTTGAGGTTTGGTTTTTGCCACCTATTCGTTATTTCGGAAGTGCTGCCGGTTAATAGACTTTTTTGCCGTATGAGTATAAGCTGCCCAGGGTGCACCACGTGGAGGTAAGTCTATCGCACACCCCTCGACAACAATCTTAATTTACCTTGGTGGTTATCTAGTAGTCTCCCCCTCCCCATTTTGACGTGGAATTTTTTACTGCTACTAGATTTAATGAGGTATAACTTCTCAACAAATTGACCTGCTTACCGTGTATTAATTTTAGTGACTGTGCAACGGAGGAGGGTAGCCTTTACCTTTGGAAAAGGTTTCGTGATCGATTGGCTAAAGAATCCGATTGTCCACTGTGCCACCGGGGTTTCACCAATGAACAAGATCACATTGATTTAAAAGAAGAGGTAGGGCATTGTTAGGGTAGCCTTTTTTACGTTTCTAATTCATTTGCCATTGTAGATTGAGAGGCGCATAGTCTCCATTCCACTCGATTTGGATTCCAAACGAAAGGAGCTTCAAGAACTAACCAGCCAACACGAGAAAATAATTGAACTGCGTCCGAAGAGTGTGGAGTTCTCAAATCTGAGGGAAGTTGATATACCGGAGCTGGATGCGAAGATCAAGGCAACACAATTAAACCTTGATGACTTACAATTGAAAATGGAGACGGTGAATTATTTTTACATTTCTGAATGACTTTGCTTGCTTTTATAACTTGCGAAGTGTGGAGGTTGTCTCTTATTATTCCCAATATTGTGTTAGTTTCACATCAGCGCGGACGTAATCATCGATTCTCGAATGAATTTTGTGTGCGATAGTGCGCTTTCTTCCCTTGCCTTGCATCTCTTCTTGCGTGACTGTGGAAGTTAATACCCTCTTAGCCAGTTGGCAGGTCTTTATTATAACCTCTCTTCGGTATATGATTGAAAGACGAGTCCGGTAGTTGAATGCTAATCCTATAGCATTGACTGTCGGTGTCTTAGCGGAAATGGTAGAAGTGACAGTGTCTCTCGATCGTTGTATTGTATTGACTTGAACTCTTGCTGTCAATCTCACGTAACTGTGCTCTCACAACATTCTCAATAATGCTCTATTTTAAAGTGAAGACAAATTCGGTCGGCCTAAGACCAAGTGCAAACCAAATGCAATCGAATCTGCTTGGATGTATGAAATTGATATCTAGAGAAATATATGCTGTTGACAATGTTGAAATTAAAGTAGGACCGAATTTGATTCTGGCTCTTTCATCATTCTCGAAACTCCTCCCTTCTATGTATTCTAATGGTCTTATTCGCTTTGGATGTTGGGGAAAAGTTGCGACGCTACTTTTTCGGGACCACTCGACGTAAACAAAGTGAAGGTAATCGTTAACTGCTTGAGTCTACTAATCAGTGGGGTGGGTGAGTGGGTATTGGGAAATTATGTTCTTTTTACAGATCTATATATATTAGTATCAGATTCTGCCATGCTGTTTCTCTTCTTTTGTGTCTGATCCCAAGTTGTTTTCTGGTTTCCAAATGGATGAATTTGGTTTTGTTCCTTAAAAATGGCATCTAATATTACCTGAAACTTCTTTTCCTTACAGGAAACATCGAAACTGGCTGACATTCAGATGAAGGAGTCAGTGGCTAGAAAGTTACAAGGTGATATGGCCGTCATCGAGAAGACAGAACAAGAGATTGGTGATTTGACTCGATCATTGGACTCTTGCAAGGGCTCTCATGGGGAATCAAGTAAGCAATTCTACTTTGATGGAGTGAATTTGGTCTACTTGATTTTCAATCGTTGTGGGGGGGGGGGGGAAGACTTTTAATGTATCACACCTTTGCCTCAACTTGGAAAGGCAAGTGGCTCGGTGTTGTGGAGGAGAAAATTACGTGAGCAAAGTCGATTTAAAGTGTTCTATCAACTAGTTGTGGCTACCAAGCTTGATGTAGGAGTGAGACAGAACTTTTGATCTGTTGGTTTAATTGAGAGGAGACAAGGAGTGTGCCTAGCGTTTTGTAATTGACGTGTACACCACACAGACTAAAACTGTTAAAGGCTTAGTAAACCGATTGGTCTTTATTTCAAATGGCAGGCGTTTTGATAACTGTCATTAGCCATTTAGCTGACTTCGGGCTTCACAGAGGGAAGGTTCATCAAAGTAGAAGAAAGTCGAGGGGTGGGAAGACAGACGAGCGATTCACAGATGTAAAAGAGGCAGACAGACACAAAGGTAGAGAAAAAGGTAAGATGAGTACTGTGGAAGGGGTCGAATATGATAAGCAGTCGCGCCAAGTCAGAAGTCAACTGCCGATTGATAGACTTTTTGGCCGTATGAGTATACGTTGCCCAGGGTGCACCACGTGGAGTTAAGTCTATCGCACACCCCTGCCGATTGATCTTAGAAAAGCGTTGTTTTACCTTATAGCACAGCGGCCATTGGAGGAGATCCAGGAAGAACGGCAATCCTTGCGAGAGAAATGGTAAAGATTCTTTTTTTTGTTATTTAATCTATTCCTTGGATTCTTCTCTTTTAGTAAGGACTTGTCGTCGAAAATTGAAGGCCTACGTACAGAAATGGAACAGCTCTCGAAGCAGCGACAAAACGCCATTGACAAGGAGCACGAATTGAAAGATCGCCATCTTAAAGTGAGTCTGTGAATTCTCAACTCTCTATTACACCCGAGTCCCATTGTTTGACAAGCAGGATGGCAGCTGCCTTTTCTAGTCACCTCAAACTGAGTTTTTATTTCACTCCCCTGTTAAGACTCAAGGGGCCATAGATGACAATTTCAGTGGATTTGCTCTCAATTTCGTACACCGCGTTCTCTCGAACGAGCGCATTTTACTTAGTAATCTTTTCATTTTCACTTCATAATTGAGTTAAATTTCAACAGACATGTTCTACTACTAATTGGAGTGGCTTCGGTTTCAAGTTGAGATCAGAAATCCGGTGGATTGATGAAAAATCTCCTCTAAGTGCGCTTTTTCCAATAACCTACTTAGAAGTCAGGTAGAGATAAATCAACTGGCTTATTTGAAAGTTATCGTGATGTGATCGTAATTCGCGAACGGCAAAAAATGTCTACCTACTAGGACATTCCAGTCGAGAAAAATTGCCAATATTATGCTAACGGCAGATCTTCTTTGTAGGGTCTAGAGTCATCTCAAGTTTAAATTAATTTAAGTTTAACAGATTTTTGCTCTCGATAAATTAAAGGTGGAGATTTCTTCCCACCTTAAAGGCAACTGGTTGGCTAATAATGCCCATCTATGGCCTGAAGATTTTTCCCGCGCTCTCACGAATCAAAGAGTCATTGATTCAATTTCTTAATAATTTTTTTTTGTTGTTTTCCAGTTGGAGAAGGAGTTTCAAGCAGTGAGTACCTTAAATTCCGAGCTCAAGCGTTTGGAGGCGTCGAAAGAGCGAACCACTAGTCAGTTGGAGGAGTTGCGTGCTCAACTGGCTGGATGCCAGGCGAGTCTTAGTGCAGCTGAGGTGGACAAACGGAAGATTATCGAGGAGCGAGATGAGAGCGTGGCTTTCGCAACGGCTGAAGTGAGTCCATCTCTCGCCTTCTCTCCTATTACCCGCTTTCTCTTCTTTGGTTGTGAACAGCCTCGCTACTTGATTGATTTAAGTAGCCAACGTTTTTTATCGAAAATTTCCATCATAAGAAGGCATCGATAGTGAGTGAGTAATGTAGCAACTTAATTTAGTCTCAAGGAAGGGGGAGGGGAATAGAGGGAGAAATTCTAGTTAGGGCATTAAATGAGTTTTTGGATAGAGTTGGTTGATTCACATTCCAATATTTTGGATTTGAATTTCAGAAATCCAGTAAGTTGGATGACTGTGGGCGAGCTGTCGACCTCGACCTCTGGAGAAGTTGAGTTGCGATGTTGTATTGTTGTTGGTTATTTTTATTCTGAAGTTGTACTAATGCCTATGGAAGGTTAATTATTAATGGCACACTGCCTTTACCATTTCAGAAATCTGAAAAATTTACCCATTTCAAGGCAATAAAGTGACGAGGGAAGTTGAGGTGACATCGTCATGTCATTTGTAGGAATGTAGTGCTTTCAAGGTTGGATAATAAAAGCTTTCCTGTCGAAAACTTGGAATAATTGGCATCTCTGCTGCTGAGTATATATTGAGGCGGGAGCTCACAGGCCTCCTCTTATTAATCGAATTCCTACGAGAGAAAGCGTTTGCTCTCTCTCTCTCTCTCATGTTGTCATTAAAATTACTTTTAATGATAAAGTTGGGGGTTTGGTGAGGGAAAAAGGAAAATGGCTGAAGTTGGCGATTTTCGTCTGATAAAATCAGGGGTTCGCCACGTTGGTTTTAGTTTTTTTTTGTGTGTGTGTGTGCGTATGTAGTTTGAGAAATTGTGCTTGATTCTCTTTGCAATTTCATAATTTATTCTTACGAGCGCATATAATAAATTTTTAAAGATTAATTTGCTCTTACAGAAGAGACAGTTTTCAATAGGAATTTAAGAGAGTACAGGGTCACACCCATGTCTTATTTATTGGGGTTATTCAGCTGGGGAAAAAAACGAGCTATAGGCGATTTATTGCCTCGATAATAACCTTCATCGTATCCAAAACAAGAAAAAAAGAATAGACGGCTGAAAGAACTTCAAAGCACTCTGAACTCTAATCGGCATAGACAGGCACTGAATACGTGAACATTAATTCCTGTAATTGCGCACATAATGCACAAGAGGGATGTATAAGGCCCACTTTATTGGATGATTTTCCAAGTGCCTCGGGTTATGCGAAAACCTGCAGTCAAGTAGGGAGAAGCGATAGTGGTTCTGAAGTCCTCTAGAGGCGCACTTTAATCCTAATCCCATTTATTGGTTGATGCCACGACCTCTCAAATGTGGAATTCCATTCTGCTCCTCATCCTCAGACCAATTTATCCGATGCGCGTTTCGTTGGCCATGCTCAACTGAATGTCAAGATGGTCGATGCTTTTGCTAGCCTTATGCATATTCCCATGTTATTGAATTAGTGAGCGCAGTGTTTTTTGCGCCTCCTAGTGGCAAGAGTGGCGTGAGCGTATTCGGGAGTTCATGGAGGTCTGCGAATCTGTTGCCTCCAAATACAGAACTAATTCATCTCCCATTGAGGAGTTGCAGAGGGTGGCGCGTGAATTGGCAAGGCTCGAGGAGAAGAGGGAGGAGTTGAAATCTAGGGAGGTTGACATTTCTCAAGAGGTGGAGCAACTTCGGACTGCTATCAACACTCATCAGGTACTTCTTGTTGTTATTAGCAATTTGTTGATTAATTTGACTCCATTTTCCTACCTGTAATCCTTTGGAACTAGATCATCTGTTCTAGTTAAGCCGAGTTATACCACAAAATCAAAGATGATACATGATAACTAGAGGTTCGGATGCTTCCAAATAATTAGGCATCTGCAATGCAAGTTTAGTGCATTTTTGATAAATATTAAAATTGCTTGCAAACCATATATGAGGCAGAGGAGGGGGGCTATCAATTGTCATAGGTGTCTGTTCTAATGAGCGTACCTCCTTACTTTTCGTGCAGCCAAAATTCAAATTTAGATGAGATGTGTGTATTTTAGTAATTCCTCTAGAACATCTCCCGACGCATGCTTGGATGCCACAAGGAAATGTAACCACTGAGATTGCTAGTGCATCGCGGACTGAAATTCATTAAATTAGGAGTTTAGATTAAAAATTAGCAGTTGACAGTGGACGAACCATGTCCCAAATCAGGCAGAACACTAAGAGTTGAGTTGAGATGTGAGAAAGCAGGAAATATGTAGAGGGATTGGAACAAACGAAAGGTACGGGAGAGGGAGGTGAGATAATTGTACTGGGGAAGGGGTAGATCGATCAGACTGGTTGGCTCCGGACTTCGCTAATAGGGGAAACCGGATCATTTTTAAGGTCATTATACCACAAAGTGTAATATACCACTTGAGAACACACCATAGTTCTCAGGCGGAAATTGAAGCCACTTCCTCTTCTACCTACCTACCTGTTTATCAATGGCATGTTTATTTTGCTATAGATATAAGCTGATTTGCTATTCCAATTTCAGATTGTTCAACGCGATTTCCAAGACTGCGTTCAGCTGCGTAAACTTCAATCTCAACTCGGCTCGTTGAGTGGTCGTATTAGTGATATTCAAGGGAAGATCACTGCCTGTCAATCAGGTATTTCTGAGTCGATCGATCCTGAGGAGCATGTCAAGGAACTCTCCGACCAAGAGGAAAGACTTCGTCAGAAGGTAACCCCAACTCCCATCCACCTGAGTAACTTGTAGATAATATTTACTCATATCAAATGGCAGGCGCTTTGACACTTATCATTAGCCCTTTAGTTGATTTCAGGCTTCACAGAGGGGAGGAGGATTATCAAAGTAACAGAAAATGGGGGGGGGGGTTGGGAAAGAGAAGAGTGATTCACAGCTGTAAAAGAGACAGACATACGCAAAGGCTCAGAAAGGGTAAGATGAGTACTGTGATAGGGGTCTCTTATATGACTTGCAGTCATGACCGTTTGAAGTTGGAAGTCAATTGCCGATTAATGGACTTTTTACCATATGAGAATACGTTGCCAAGGTTGCACCAAGGTTGGAAGTAAGTCTATCACACACCCCTTAATATAAATTACGCTTTACGATCGGTTAATTAACGGCGATTGGTTTTAGCACATGAGCTTGTCTACTTAGTTGTATTTCTCTTCCATTGGCCTGTCTATTGATTATTAAGGGAAAGTGGAGAAATAGCAAGTTCTCTCTCTCCCTATTTCTGATGGTTGCTTAAATAATTGCCATTTGAGACATTACTTAGGCTGAAAATCCGCCCGATATTTGCATCCTGTGTGGAGATTTACGTTGGATTTCACTTTGACTGGGGCCTGTTTCTCGTCTTCTAGGACACTTTGCAATTGGCTGTCACCTCTACCGAATTCTTGTTGCCAACTAAGTTGATGAGTTGCGCGATTTTCATAGTCTTCGAGGGTAGTGTGAACTTTAATTAGAAATACCAATATAAATCATTAGTTAATTACAATGCTAGTTCCAGAAATAGAAAATTCAATGCACAGCCCATAAAATTGGCGAGATCAAAGCCACTTTTTGAAGTGTGAGGGGGGGTGGGTTTCTTAACTGTCTGACTGGTCCATCTTTTAGTGATCTCTTCCTATCCCATCTTTATCATCATCTTCGTCGTCATCTTGGTACTTGCTCTGTACTTTGAGTCTTTTATTTTTACTTGCCGGACATGTGGATCAGGTGGATGGGGTGGGGGGAGGTAAAAGAGAACCGAATTCAACTTCCGTTGAAACTTTCTTTCATAAGTATGTCATAGGTTTTGTTGTGCATAGAATGGAGGAATCCTCAAATGGTCGCCATTTTGTTGGATTGACAGAATCGAAGGCCACAGGCTCGCTGAGTTGCTAGATTATGAAATCCAATGAAACCAAACTAGACCTTAGACATTAAGAGTTGTGTCGACCAAAGGGCATTGAATAAGCCGCGATGAGGATGCCTTCTCTGAAAAAAAATGTGACCCAATGCAGGAGTCCCTACCTTCAATTTTTATACTTTCTGTCCGGGGAAGTCATTCCAATCGATGCGGAGAGGTGGTATTACACTCAAAAGCTCTTCTCTCTATTTGTTTTTTTTCCTGTTTTAGAAACAAGTCATTAACGAAGGCATTACTAGAGTGAAGACAGAATTGCAAATGATGGAAAAAGATTTGAAGGAGAAGTACGCTGATGCTGAGGCTGAGTACGTGAAGAAGATGTATGAATTCCGAGTAAGCCATCTACGTCACATTCGATTTATTTTGTATTATTTGTCCCTTTTATTTTATTTGCTATTTTTATTTTTAGACCTCTGAAATGGCGGCCACTGATCTACATCGTTATCACCAAGCTCTTGACAGGTTGGTGTGTGTGTGTGTGTGTGTGTGTGTGTGTGAAATCAAGCAATCGATTATATTGAGCACATTGGCTTTCATTCAAGATTAGTTTTAAAGCAAGGTGTGTTGGTTAAAATTTTCGACAAGTAACTATGGCTACTCTCCTAACTTCTTAGACACCTACACTAAGGTAAGGTAGAAAGGAGGCAATGCATGCTGCAGGAATCCAAGCCATCACAAACCGTAGAGCCAATTGAATAGACGTTTTTTCGGTAAATGGAAGTGAACGGCTGATTATGCGGAAGTTGGATAATCGAAGTAAGGCGTAAGTAACTTCAAGAAGTGGTTTCTAGTGCTTGCACTAAAAGTGTGTGTGTTTGTGCATCTCACATGGAATTTGGTGGTTAGAGATGGTATTAACCGCATATTAGTAGGATAGTCTTTCTTCATGTAGATTGTGGGGTGCTCTTTTAGAATCACTCAAGTTTCGCGATGACCTTTGTGGTAGCGGTGTCGATAGATGATTTGCCTACACACTTTCTACATAACTGGGTTGAGTGGTTTTGACGGCAATATCGAATAGTCTGCCAGATTTCTAATTTCGTAAGTGGTGAGGTGGGCGATTATTTACTTCATTTCTTTCATGCAGTCTGCAAATATTGTAGAGCAATCATGAAGTACCACGAGGAGAAGATGAATGAAATCAACGAAATTATTCGTGAACTCTGGCGAACAACCTACCGGGGCAATGGTGAGTTTTCTCTATTGTCTTTACCTTGCCACCATCACGCAATCGGTCTTAACATTTTGTTGGGGGGAAGCGCAGCTATTAGTTGCCAATTAACAACATCTCCACAAAGTCCAACACAGCACACACAGGGTTGTGGAGACAGAGGAGATGAGTCAAAGTGTGTAGAAATCGGGGGAGTAATAAAATCGCGCTTATCTGACGAGTAAAATGATCAAATACATGCCAACATTAGAGTACCACTACTGTGGTTAGTGTAAGGATTTAAGTAAAGATTTGGAAACCCCTAGGTATTCGTCCTTAAGTTCTGAATAATTATAGGTGGTGTCCTATCGTTGGCATATATATATACTTAACCATTTGACGCTACCTTAATACTTCCAAAGTATGTCGAATTAAAATAGCTTTTCCAAAGCCTTTTATTCGAAAAAAAAGGATTCTAGACAGCTTTAATCTATTGCTAGCTTGATTGTTGAAATTGGAAGTTATTCAATCGTCCAGAGTATGCAAAAATACACATCCATGCCAAAACAATGGGAGTTACTTGTTAGTCGTGATGTCAATCTTAGACTAACGAACCTCTCTCTCCTCTTTCGGATAATAATCTCAGTAAGGCATTTAGTGCATGAACAGTTGAAGGTCTTTAAAGCGGATGTGCCACCTCTCCCCACTTCCACCGTTGTGTGACCACAGATGGTATTAAAGGTGTCATTCTTTGTGTCTCATTTTGACCGCCCCGCGTTTCCTGCCCCCCCCCCCATTAAAAAATAAACAATGATCAGTGCAAATCGATGGACCTTTCAAAAACCTTAACTGGAGAATTTGGTCAAATTAGTGACGAAGGCTTATCTCCTGCATTATTATTATGTAAATAAAAAGTACTGGTTCCAATGACCCTGATGATGGGGGCGTGGATTATCTTGCAGACATAGATCACATAAAGATATGCAGTGAAGAGGAGTCGCTGGCAACAGCAGCAGCAAGTCGCACACGACGTACCTACAATTACCGAGTGGTGATGGTGAAAGCCGGTTCTGGCGGCGGGGCAGTGCCCACTCGAGTGGGCAAATATGCGCGTTTGACCACCTCGTCAGAAACGCCTCTGGACATGCGAGGTCGATGCTCAGCTGGTCAGAAAGTTCTCGCCAGTTTGGTGATTCGACTAGCTCTAGCCGAAGTCTTCTGTCTCCAATGTGGTGTCCTCGCCCTAGATGAGCCTACCACGAATTTGGATCGGGAGAACATCGAGTCGTTGGCTTATGCTCTTACTGAGTATGTGTTATTGGCTTTTTTTCCAATAGTTGATTATGCGTGGATTAACTATCATTAGGGGTTATCGATTGGTCATAAATGATTTCTGCTCCACCTAGGATTATCAAAGCACGATCGAGTCAGCGGAACTTCCAATTGATCGTCATCACCCACGACGAAGATTTTATTGAACTACTGGGTCGTGCGGGTTGTGCCAATCATCTCCAAAGACTGGTCCGCAATCCAGAGTAAGTTTACTTATTTCCCATTGCATTTAAAGTGCAAGATATGCACTAACTAATAGTAGCTAAAATTTGAGAATTATGACAGGATTGAGTGCATTTCAGGGCAGGGGGGGGGTTACTTTAACTTGAATTTATCCCTTCTCTGCGTGAAGGTATTCCACACCTTAAAGTTTGAAATGATTCCCCAATACTTTTCACCACAACCATTGTCAATACCAATGTGTTACGTAAGTGGCTGTTTGTCCATTAAACAGGACAGGGATGTCAAGATGGCATGAATAGCCTCTGTCTGCAACTCGATCAATTCGGAGCACCATATAGAAAGCAAGGCATCACACTTTGAAATGTGACCTTCGGATTATTAGAACGTGGTGCTTAAACTCGTTCATTATTTAAACTGCGCACAAAATTAATAAGACACAGCTCACATTTGACCACCCCCCCCTTTACTTTTGTGACAGTATGGATTACATTTGTTGCTTGGCAAAGAAGATATAACAAAGTAATATCTCATATCAAATGTCTGTCATGATCTAACAATTTGATAATTTAACCAATTCATCAATTCAGATAACTGGGGGGGTACTTTCATTTTGGATACTCGTTTTCGATTTGAAACTTTACTCCCTGAATTTAATTCCTAGACCATTTATTTCAAGCGCGTTGATAAGAGATATCATCTCAGAAAAGTAGATGAGAAATCTCTTGAAAATCTCACTTAAAGCGGAGTGGGGTGGTGGGGGGGGGGAGTTAATTAGCTACTAGAGCTTCTGTTTACTCCAACGATGATCCAGTTAATAGTTCCGTTCTTCACACAAATTGTAGCTATTTCATTGCCAATTTACTTCCACCAAAACCGTCTTCATCAATACAATATACTGAGAGATCTTCTTTTCCCTCATTTTTAGGGGTCTGTCGGAAATTCAAACCGTCCGGATGGAAGATCAATTCAACTGATAACAGTGACCTTTATTCATACTAATACGCATTATTATACGCTTAATAGCAAAAGATTTCTTTTGTGAGCCGAATTGGAAGAAGCGGTGGGAGGGAGGGA